AGAGACTCTTGAGTGGCGGATATGTTACTTAAGGAGTCAAGAAGGTACTTAAAGAGGTGGGATAATGGATACATGCCACTAGATGTAACCTACAGACAACTTGAGGTCTTTTTGGGGCCAGAATGGTTCGAAACAGCAGCTGATAAGTGTGTCCCACCTGTCAAAATCAGATGTGTTGCTTGTTCACTGTGCCACCAACGCAGTCTTTCAACTTCATCCAAGGAGCAGCAAAGATTATGACTCACCCTGCTCATGTCACTCTCAACAAGTGCCAGTGTTTTGACAGAATCACCATACTGAAGACATTTCCTGGATTTTCACAATTTGTGAAAGGGTTGAACAAGGCTAAATGTCATTTGCTTTTGAGTCATGCAGATGAAAAGATTGGCAAGAACATTTATAAAGTCTTTTCCCTCATGTCATTTCAGTATGGCATGACCCCTCTCATGTATGTGGCCTATAAGGGAAAAGCAGACATGTGCAGACTGCTGCTGCAGCACGGAGCTGATGTCAACTGTAATGAGCATGAGTATGGTACTGCCCTCATGTTCGCTGGCCTCTCAGGTAAACTTGCTCATCTAGCTAGCAATGCTAACAAGTTTCATTTTATCTAACATTTATTTAACCAGCAAGGTAATTTAATGAATTTTTATGGAAGTCCTGGCATTAGGTTGCACAGCTGTCATTAATAAACCACAGAATTAAGAAATTCGAATAAGCATTAGATCAATGTCACAGTTTCTATATAGGATGATAAGCTTATGCCGAGTTCAGACTGCACGATTTTCAAAATAATCGGGTCACTGTTGTTTTCACACTGCATGACTATCTGGGGTAACATTCAGTTGCTGCTGTGTTCACACTGCACGGTGGATCGGCGACAGGAGGTTTCACACTGCATGACTTTACAACAGAAAGAATCGCCGACAACTTCTGCCTGGTCCGCAAACTACGTTTCACAACCAAACAAACGCGAGAAGTGATAGGAAATAACGGAAGATCACGCGTGCGTGAGACCGGAGTTCTCGCGCGACACTGAATTTATTATTAAAAATGATAGCCTACAAATTGTCTGTGCACTGATTTGTAGCGAAAATGAAAATAATAATAAACAGTTTATGCAGGAAATGGTTGGGAAGACGAGGGGAGCAAGGACTGTGTTTTGCAAAGAGAGTTGCGGGTAAATAAATAATTTTGCAAATGTCCTGCTGTTGCTGCTGGTCATGCAAATGTTTGTGCTTTGTTTCTGTTTGATATAATTGTAAATATAAGCCTATCTACCCTTATATGCTGTTGTTGTTGTTTGCGGTCTTTTGAAGTATCTTGTTATTGCAATAATGTTTTATAAATTTGCAGTAATGCCAAATAAATTTGCAATAATGCCACATAAGTTGCCACTAAAAGAAAATACTTGATTGCAATTACATATTTCAATAATCGAAATTTATAAAATGATTAACTTTAGAATAAGAAATTAATTTTTAAAAAGTAAATATAAACAAAAAACAAAACGCTATAGCCGGATAGGAACAGTGAAGAGTAAACCCACCTGTGTGTCTGTGTGTGTTTGTGTGCGTGCGCGCACGTGCATGTGTGTGTGTGTGTAATCATGCTCATTCCACATTGTTTTTTTGCTCCAATGCCAGGCCCTTTATTTATGTGTGAACATTTTTAGATTCATGCTGGAATTATTTTATTTTTTTGCCAATTTCGATAAAAATGCTCTCTTTTGCAGTCACACCTGTTTGTTTGTGTGTGTCTCTCTGTGTGTGTGATATGTGTGTAGTCATGTTCTTTCCATATTGCATTTGTGCTCTCATACCATACCATCATTTGTGTGTGAATTTTTTTAGATTTATGCAGAAATTATTAATTTTATTTCCCAATTTCTATAAAAATGCTCTCTATTGCAGTCACACCTGTCTCTATCTGTGTGTGTATTTGTGTCTCTGTCTGTGTGGGCGCACATGTGTGTGTGATAATGTTCATTCCACATTGTATTAGTGATCTAGTACCAGGCCTTCATTTATGTGTGAGAATTTTCAGATTTATGCTGGAATTATTGATTTTATTTGCCAATTTCTATAAAAAATGCTTTCTATTGGAGTCACACCGGTGTGTGTGTTTATGTGCGTGTGCACGTGTGTGTGCAAGTGATCATGTTCGTTCCACATTGCATTTGTGCTCTAGTACCAGGACTTCATTGTGGTATAGAAATTTTCAGATTTATTCTGGATTAAATTTTTTTTTTTACAAATGAAAAATAAAAAACATTTTTTTTCCGATTTTCCCATTCATTTCAAGAGTCATGAGTGTGGTCATGAGTGTGATTTTTTTTTTACATACCTTTAGAACAACCGAATCAAGCCCAGTTTTTTTGTGTGTGTATATATAGATAATGTAGGAAAAGTGACAAAATTTTATGCAACTGAGATGAAGGGAACCATGTTTATTTACTTTGGAAAAGTCGATTGGGGTCATATAGACCCCAAAGCACAAATGAGGGTTAAAATACTGACATTCTGGTCTATAACTCCTCCTCCTCCTCCCTGTATCTTGCTCTCTCATTGGCTGTCGGTCATCGCCGATGTAGTTTTCAGTCAGAACACATTCACACAGCAGGATTGTGAATCGCCGACAGGTCCAGATATTTAGCATGCCAAATATCTCACGCGCGTCGGCGATTCTCTCAGATCGCGTCTTTGCTCATTCACACTGCGTGATTGTCACTCGCGTGAACGAGCACCGATTTGCCTGTGATTTTGGGCATTTGTCGGCGATTTCTCAAAACCTGTCGGCGAGCCAAAATCGGGGCTAAAATCGTGCAGTCTGAACTCGGCATAAGAAATGCAAAACATATAAGACTTCGCAAAGAATGACAGAACACACAGGGCTTATTTAGGCAGAGTTAACAAGGTAATGAGACACAGCTGAATATAATCTAGCATAATGAGTTCAGACAGTGGGTTATGGGAAATATATACACATACATACACACATGTATGGGGGTAACACATTTTTCAAATAGGTAAGTTAGTTTGTTTTTCCATTTATATTGACTGACACCTCTCCTGTCCAGTATTGAACTGCTGTAGAGAGAGAGATACTATATATATATATATATATATATATATATCACATAATCCTTCAGAAATCATTCTGATATGCTGATTTGTTCAAAAACACTTCTTATTATTATCAGTGTTGAGAACTGTTTAGTATTTTTGTGGAAATCGTGACACTTTTTTAAGGATCCTTTGAATAGAAAGCTCAAAAGAACATAATTTATTTGAAATGAAAATCTTTTAGAAAAATATAAATGTCTTTATTGTCACTTTTAATGCATCCTTGTTGAATAAAATATTATTTTCTTTCCAAAAATCTTACTGACCCCAAACTTTTGAATGGTAGTCTATACTGTGTAGAATTTACTGAATTGCCCGAATTTCCCCTGCTCATCTAAAATAATCCTACAGGTAATGCTGAAATTACAGAGATGATATTAGATGCCGGAGCAGAGACAGATCTGGTCAACTCAGTGGGACGGACTGCTGCTCAGATGGCCGCCTTTGTGGCCTTGTACACCTTGTATACAATATACAAAATGTATTAACAATATGTTCAATGTCATCAGAATACAAATGAGAAAAGAACAATGAGCTGAAAACTAAAATAAATAAATAAAAAAGATAGAGAGGAAGAACATGAAGGAAAGATATTTATCTTTCATCAGTTACACTGTACAAATTGTTTCATGTTAGGTAATGTAGGGTCCAAAGTTTTAAAGTTGAGACACACATACACGCATTTTTTAAAAGCTTTTTTGTAAAGTAAACATAAAAATGTATTTGCAACCGTTATGTTAACAGCATTATATTTCTGTGGTAAGAACAGCTCTTCAGCTGATGGACGCCGTGTTGCATTGTCATGGGAACATCCCAGGTGAAAATAATGAGGAAATTACGTTGTCTTTCGTTGCTCCTTCATCAAGTGCGTTCCACACGGCTATAATGGCACACTAGAGGCCCACTTTAAGGGCTCTGCCGTCTGCCCTTCGAAGGGAGTAGGGCATAGGGAAGCTCACGAGCAATAAGCACGTCCCAGCCGGGTTCGTCACTTATTTGGTTCCCCTGGAAACATTTCCGTTGTGGTCTGTGTTATTTGCAGCGCGTTTCTGTATTTGGTTGTGTTGTGAACTTTTGCAGCGCGTTTCTGTATTTGGAGCACACGTGTGTTGTGAAACTGATGAAGATGTTTTTTTTTTTTTTGCAGGTGTTTTTTTTTCTATTTGCACACGGTTTTTTCTATTTGCATGTGTTTGCTTCAGTTGCAGTTGAGCTCTCTCGGCCACCGTAGGAAACAGTCAGCCTTCGAATGTTTCAGCAAGTCGTATAAACTAGTATTATACTATAATACTAAATATGCGTATAATATTATGTATATAATATACATATATATTATGTATATACGCAGGTATACGTATACTATATTACTAAATACTATGTATAATTAATACATAGTAAGTGTGTCCCCAGCATTAGTCTGCTGTCAGTGGCTCAAACCTTACAAACCTTACAAACTCTAAAATGACGTTTTGGAATTAGCAACGGAGGCAGTGGCACACATACAATGGACCATGTATCATCCCTGCTGAAAAATTCAGCATAATTCTATGTTGGTCCAGGCTGGTTTATGCAGGTTAGAGCTGGTACAGTTCTGGTCTAGCTGGTGGACCAGCATAGTCATGCTGTTTTCAAGCAAAATTGAGCTGGTGTTGCTGGTCCACAGGTCATGCTTCCCATGCTAGAGACCAGCAAATCTAGCATCCCATGCTGGTCCCAGTATGCAAAACATACCTTGCATACCTACCTGTTGGTGTTTTTAAGGTCATTATTTTAAGATTTGTGTTTGTTGGGTGATAACCTTTGCTAGTGTTATGGAAGAATAAGTTGATTTGAGACATGTATGAGGGGTTTTGGTAGTTAGTGAAATTAACTGCTGTGCCAAACTGAAAGTTGGTAAGGAGAATTGTGTTTTGAAGAGTTTTGATAGGGTGACCTAAGTATTGAGGGTCCTAGTGGTCGTAAAAACTGTAATGGGCGCAGAGAGTAGTTTAAAACACAGGTGGTCTAGTATAGACTTGCGTGTATGCTTAGATCTCGGATGGCATCTGTATATGCGCTATCTCAGCTGTCTCCCATCCAGTGATTTCTGATGAGTAAGGTGTCTCACTCTCAGCGCCACACTCAGCAGGATCAGTTAACAGAATCATGTAGCCTGAGAACATGTTTCCTCCATGAAACTTGCATTGTAAGTAAGTCTCTCTGCTATATTCACTTCCCATATTTTGGGGCACATTTTTCCATCATGCTTTTTCAGATGGTGATGCTGGTGAAGGAGAACCCCTTACTGGTGGACGTGGTTGCCCTGGAGAAGTGCTACCGTGTGATGGATCTGCTCTGCGAGCAGTGCGTGAAACAGCAGGACATGAATGAGGTTCTGGCCATGAAAATGCACTACATCAGCTGCATACTGCAGAAGTGTCTGGCCTTCCTGCAGGAATGTGACGACAAACTGGACGCCCTTTTGAAGAGGTGACATCATCATTATGGTCCTTGCATCTTAGATGGTCTTACAAATGGAGCCACAAAATGATATACTTTTCTTCTGTCCAAGATTTCTGAAAGGAAGAGATGGTGATGGCTTCCCTCAGTACCAGGAGAAATTCATCTGGGATTGTATTTGGAAGTTTCCCTATTGTGAAGCAACCCTGCTGCAACAGCTGGTCCAAAGCATAGCACCTGTGGAAATTGTCAGTACATTTTTCTATCATAAAACACAAGCATCTTTAATTTAACAAAGGGGTCATTTAATGTGGAATCACTTATTAAATAATAAATATATATTTTATATATAATTTTTATTTAGAAAAATATTATTTATATTGTTAATAATATAATTTGATTCAATGTTATATATAAACAGTAAAAATATAATATCATTATATAGAACATTCAGTGCTGTCAAATCGATTAATCACGATTAATCGCATCTAACACAAAAGTTTGTTTATATAATATATACACCACATATATGTGTGTGTGTGTGTGTGTGTCACATATACAGTATATATATATATATATATATACACACACATTTAATAATACACAATATACAACATATATATACACACACACACACATATTATATAAACACAAACTTTTATGTTAAATGCGATTAATCGCGATTCATTGATTTAACAGCACTAATATTTAATCATAATGTTAAATAATGAATCACTATGTTCTTAAAGCATATTACTTTATATACACTACCGTACAAAAGTTTGGGGTCAGTAAGGTTTTTGTAAAATAAATTAATACTTTTATATGGCACCTTTGATCAAAAGTGACAGTAAAGACATTCATAATGTTACCAAAGATTTCATGAATTCCATAAAAATAGTAAGCAGTACAACTGTTTTCAACATTGATAATAATCAGAAATATTTCTTGAGTAGCAAATCATCATGTGACACTGAAGACTATACTAATGGCTGCTGAAAATTCAGATTTACCATCACAGGAATGAATTACATTTTAAAATATACAGTATTCAAATAAAAAACAGTTATTTTAAATTGTAATAATATTTTACAATATTACTGTTTTTGCTGTTTTTTTTTGTTTTTTTTTTACAAACATTTGAACGGTAGTGTAGATGTACATAACTTGCTGGCTGATGCCAAATTATAAAATGTGTCAACATTATGTTTCTCCTCACTCTTGTTTCCAGGGGAACAACCCCACAGCCTTCTCGGTTCTGACCCAGGCATTGACAGGCCAGATGGTGCTTATGAACACAGAGTACTGTGCTACATGTGGGGACAGGGGTGCCGACATGAAGTGCTCCTTCTGTAAAATGGTATGTTTCCTCTTTCCTTGAGTAATCATGAAATATCATTATTCCATTAATATTGAAATTTGATCATTTTGCAGCCAAATAATAAACTCACAAATGTTAACAACAATTTATTGTACAGTTAATCTTACTTACATAATGACCATCCGCAAAGTATAGGCCTAGTAATGATTCTAGGCTGCTATTTAGCATGTAGTTTATGTGAAGGCAAACATAACTTTTCACATTCTCATTTCCAATAACGACCTCATCTCTTTGCAGGTGGTCTACTGTGGGCAGACGTGTCAGAGGCTGCACTGGTTCACCCATAAGAGGCAGTGCAAAACCCCTGTGCAACAAAGAGATGCTCAATTCAACAGCCAACCAAAACTGAGAGAACTCTCTAGCAATGGTATGTTTAGCGATGTTAGCATATTAGCACACCAGTGGTTAGTAGGTAAGTGATCTTACTGAATCGTACCTGTGCATTTGGTCATCTTGACTTTAAGAACAGAATGTGTTTTTGCTATTAAAAACATGACACAGGGCAGTGGAACAAAAAATGCACTGTCTAGAGAAAGTTGAACTTCTTTTAACTTGGACGTCTCATTTTTAGAATGTCTTGTCATGCGCGAGATGCTGGAAAAGATGCGAACAATTTTTAGAACTACAATATCTTTATCGTTATAGTTATCGTGCTTGGTGTGAACAGGCCTTAAGGCTCCATGATGAAACCAAGGCCGTTTTGTTCTTGTTGTAAATGTTCTCATCATTTAATGTGACTTTATACGAGTTAGTTTTATAAGTGAACTACAAAGCTTATTTTATGTGTTTTTCTGTTTCATCCCAGCTGATAACAGTGATGCAGAGAAGGCCGCCAGCTCGATGCTGGCTCTTTGTCTGGGGTTGTCCGAGTGTGCACTTCAGCACAGTCCTTCTGATGACCACCGTGAAGATGATCCTTGTGCTGGACAGGACTAAGGGCCCTTACATAGTCAACGCATCGGTACGCATACGCGTGCGCAAGGCTACACATCGCTACGCTTCGGCCGCCATTATGCGTCGATGCGTAGCCAAATGTGTCATCCTAGTTTTTGATACGCGACGCACCGATGCACGCAATACTATGCGTTGTCGGTGGGGGCGACATTGCAAGTAATGTACATAAAAAGGTATATTATTATGTTTACAGAAGAAGAAGATTTGAATACAATGGCGGGCGAAGAGGAAAAGTTATGCAAGCTTGTCTGGGGTTGTCCGAGTGTGCACTTCAGCACAGTCCTTCTGATGACCACCGTGAAGATGATCCTTGTGCTGGACAGGACTAATGGTGCGTTCACGTGCTATGGAAAATATGATATTTTCCACTTGTGAACTGGTATTTACCAGTGTGTTGCGTTCAAGTGCTTTTGTTGTTGTAATGTGGTAAAAAGATGGAGATCCAGACCTGTTATTTAGCTAAAACTATTTTAGATTGCTTAAGTCATCTGCTACAGCAAGAAAATGATTTATCAAAACTCAAACAGTAAATAATATGCTGTATATTTTCTAGATCATGAATAGTACATATTTTTACCATTCACAACTCTTGCGTTGCTCTCCGCCATTTTGAAAAGGTCAAAGCCAGGTAATCTCATCTCGGAAACTCGTGCATCAAAATATTCTACGAGTTGCCCAGTGGAAAATACCACATGAGGGGGTGTTCATGTGCATTTTCCATGTCGGCTTTTGGTATTTACCATAATTACCATAGCACGTGAACGCACCATAAAGAACAGAAAGATGTTGGCTGTCGTTTCATTGGCCAGGTCAACCCTTAAGCATCGAGTTCAGGTACTGTTTACTGAAGTGTTGGATCGTATACTCATTGTGAGCTGTGTAAGTACTACACAGAATACAGCATTGTGTACAGCGCATGAAAACTACTGACAAAAGGACGTCCTCTTTGGACATCTGTTCTCAAGAGACAAAAAGAAAAGCTTTGAGGATTTTCTCTACCACATGAAGTGCTTTTGTTTAAAGGTACACTATGGCCCTCTCGTTGTTAAAAAACAAAACTGCATGCATTTTGTGAAAGAACATTGTTTTAGTTGCGCTTCGGCTTGGCTGTGCGGATGAATATGACCCTTCACAATAGATGATGCTTTATAATGAACTCTGTAAGGGAGCTATATGGCAATTTATAAAATAAATATAAAATACCTTACTCACCTGTTGAGTAGTTGTGTAGTAATAAAATTTCCAGCGAAAATCATACCGCCCTGTGTAAAATATAAAGACTTTTAATAGGCTTATCATAGTGAATCGGGGTAAGACAAAAGCAGTTTTTGGAAGAAGGATTGATGATGTATTGACTCAATATTTAAATTGTGTTCATCTTGAATTAAAGTTACATAGTGTCAGACCCTTTTCATCCTTATTTCTTAAAAAAACAATAACAATTTTCACTCAGAAATTGCTTTTAAATTTTACAAACGATTACAAAGAATCAGCATTCTCACATTATTTGCTTTAAAAGTAGGCTACAACTATCTCTAAAGTAGTTCATATTGTTATGAAAGCTTATTATCTAAAAATTGAGGATGATTTTTTCCTTGATCAAATAAAGAAATAGATCTTGTATCTTAAAAGGATAGTTCACCCAAAAATTCTGTCCTGTACTCATCCTCATTTTTGAAGAAAATGGGTAACCAAACCTCAGTATGGAAAAAAATCAATGGGCCCCATCAACTGTTTAGTTACCCCATATTATTTAGCAGAAGAAATAAATTCATACAAATCTGTTACAACTTGAGGGTGAGTTACAACTTTCAGGATGACAGAATTTTCATTTTTGGGTGAACTATCCCTTTAATTCAGTAGTTTTGCCACTAGATGGCAGCGTCCATCCTCTGAAGATCAAATATGATCTCAAATATAACATCAGTGTACTATTTACTTCTTAGAATGTGCAGTATAATATCATAAATGCTTTAACCTAGCAGATTTGCAGTGTTTATTACAAACACAAACCTCTTTCAGGTGAAACTTTGACCACAATAATGATCACCAAATGAAGTGGGCAACTGACAACAATTTAGTTTTAAAAAAAGTTTTTTTTAATTTTTTTTTTTTAATGAATATGCATCATAATTTGTCTTCATTAACCAGTATATACCAGAATATTCTCCCAAAAAGTTTTTGGAAAACATTTGCCGTTTAAGGTGCAGTGTGGTAACTGTAGTACAGTGAGGTTTGTGCAGCAGGGATCTCCTCCGTGGACTTTCCCACACTTGGTCCTGTTGCACACATCCTAAGGCACTCGCTAAGAATTCTATAGACGGCTCTGTCTCTTCCCGAGCGCTTTGTTCCCAGTCTCCACATCCCCTCATCCCAAGGGACTATCTCACCCTGTGGGCCAAACGAGAGTCTATTTAGCACACGCATGTCACGTCGCATGTCAATATACCCATAACTCAGTGCCGTAACCTCTCTGTTTCCCCTGAGATTCATCCTTCTCCTGTCTCCATCTATAAGCATGTCACGGTCATTACAGGTGCATGAAAGGACTATCTCAAATATCCGGTTTTCAGATGCAGAAATTAGCGAATGCCGCATCGTATCGCATGACTTTGATATTCCTCTTTCAAGCCCTGAGGTTGCATATTCAGTGATCCCCAATAACCCCCCCCCCCCCCCCCCCTTACCAATATTACTAACAGTGCTTTTTAGGTAATAAGAGATCATTTTAACAGCAATGGCTTTAGAAATACATTTTTTTCTTAAGAATTCAGCACAATATTAAAGTGTTTTTCATCCTAATCAAAGAAGTGTACCTGTGGGCAAGCGCAATGAATTAATCGTAAATGTCTGAGGAGATGGTGAAACTAGACACTTTTGGGGGAGCCACACATTTTCGGAGGAAGAAAGTGAGCATTGGGCTTTTGTGTTTCCTCCATGTCATTTGTGTTATGCACATTCATTTGGTGAGCTCATCGGAGGCACCTGTTTGGATAATTTTGGGGTAAAATAATCCAGGGCTATCCTGTTTCATGGGTTTTGTCATGCATGCCCGTACTTTACAGCACTCACTCGAGCTGAATGCATCATGTTCACATGTAGAGGATCTAAATGCTTGAAAACTCACACCTCTCCTTTAAAGAGAGCAACATCCTCCGCACATGTTTGAGAGTGTTGCAGTATAGAGTTTACTCTGTTAAGCTTGCATTCATTTGCGTGAAAGGAAGGTATCATTTGAGGTTCACAATAGATGGTACCTATTTTCTAGAACCAGGACTAATAGAATAAAAGACTAAAAGATTGTTTGCATTAGTAAAAAAATAAATTTGCATGCTGCTAATTAAATAATTCATTGTCAAAATTGGAGAATACAATAAATCCACAAGCAAAATATGGAAATTCAACGAAATCTAATTCAAGAAAATCCATCCATCCATTTTCCAAACCACTTGTCCTCTGTGGGGTCACGGGAATTCAAAAAAATGTTATCCAAAATTGATCTTTGTTTTAAAAAATGTCATTCTACTTTTAGTGATTGGAGTAAAGTGTTCAAATGTCTGAATGTTCTAAAATGCTGTCTTAGACAAATGTGTAATCTGGATTTTGGTGTTATTGTACTTTTAGGCTAATATAACCTATAGTTATATTAGTTTGAAAGTAATATTTAAAGGTCAGTCAGACTGAATAGATCCTCAAAAACTACACATTTTTCATAGTAAAGGGGTTTTGGTTTGTTGGGTTACATCCTTTTAGGTTGGTGGTTTTAGACCAAATGTAATGTATAAATAGTTTAATTGGTTTCATAACCATACATTTAAAGATTAATAAATAAACAGATAACAAAATAAATAAATTTGCCTGGATACAATATTGAGAATGTTCTCTTTTTTTAGATTTATTGGTAACACTTTACAATAAGGTTTCATTAGTTAAGATGGTAGCACTTTATTTTACAGTCCCGTTCCCCATGCACATACTATGCACTTATTATAGTAACTAGGGATGGCCCGATACCATTTTTTTTCAAACCGATACGAGTACGAGTATTTACATTTGTGTACTTGCCGATACCGAGTACCGATACCGATATTTCTACCGCAAGAGTAATAGGCTCCCAGAAAAGAAGACGACTATTTTAGAACACAGGTCAGAAGACTGTTTTTATTTTCTTCTCTGCTTGTTTTAACAAGTCTAAAAAAAAAAAAAAAATTTGTAAAATAATAAATGTATTAACACACAAACCACTGTTAATTTAACATAAAAGCAAGCAGGCTACTGCGTGCATGGGCATGACTGAATGCGCGCAAAGTGCGCACCCTTAATAAATCCTAAAAGCTGACAGTTCATCGCGATCTCACACATCTCTGTTATTATCAATGAAGCTGACTGCACAATCAATCTTTCATAATATCCACACTTTGTTTGTTATAATTAGAGGATTTGCCAGCATACAGAATTCAGCACTGAACAAAAAAGTCCGTTTTGAGCAGTGAGGGGAGTCTATCTTAAATGCTTCTGATTGGCCATTGCGTTCAAGAAATCAACACATATGTCTGTGATTGGCTACATCGCTCAACGCTGTAACCATGTTATGAATAGAAACTCTGGCCTGTAAATCGTTTCTATTTTGTTGTAGTTGTTCTTGTTGCTTTTCTGCAAGAGATGAATAAAAATCTATTAGTTTTTATGTTTTATTCATAGATATTTCTAGTTTGCGGGAGTCCCGCGAATCGTTTTATTCTCCCGTAACCCGCACACACAGAGTGAGTGCATTACCGCCCGCGCGCGCGCTCGGCCATCAGATCTATGATGCGTCTTCAGATGTTTAATTAGATTGCTGGTGTTAAACGATGTACTTTCTTTCCCTCCTCTCGACACCTTAGCTGAACATAACTCACAGTCTGCCTTGCTGTTGTCATCATCCCTTATCTTGAAATGAGCCCTAACCGCCGACATTATAGGCTACTTTCCTATGCCTCAGTTCACCTCGACAAAGCTCTCGCGGCGGCCAGTTTCGTTTTGCAAAATGTACGTGGTATCGGTGCGTGGTATCGGCGAATTTTTATGAGTACGAGTACGAGTATATGAGGACAGTATCGGCCCGATCCCCGATGCCAGTATCGGTATCGGGCCATCCCTAATAGTAACAATAACTGGGTAATAACTAGGTACTAACACTGAACCATGTTTAATCCATGTTACCTTACCCTGTACTAAAGTACACTGTAACTTAGTAGTAAGTGCACGTACTGTAAAATAAAGTGGAACCATTAACATTAGTTAACTACTTTAGTTAGCATGAACTAAGAATTAACAATAGCCTACTTCTACAGCATTTATTAATCTTATTAATGTAGTTCATCCTAGTTATTTATTTTATTTAATATTTTTTTTATTTAATAAATTATTTCGTATCATGTTTCTACGACGATTGGCTAACATCAAGATCTTTTTTCACGTGCATATTGCAGAATGATGTTGCTGTAGGTGGGCGTGCCTCCAGCAGGGTGAGGACACGCCCATTTCCAGCACACTTCAATATTCCACTCGCTGCTGCTGTTCAAAGAATGGGCGGGTATATAAACATACACGAGTAAACAGGTATAATCATTCTCTGAATTTTCAAAGAGACACTGAACCGAACTGCTTTGCAATGCCCAGGAACACATGCGAATACCAGCTGCTGTTTCTGCTCTGTTTTCTGATGAAAAACTGTCATGCTTTCAAAAATGATGCCACTGAAGAGTTGTATGGGCACATGGTCGCATCACCTCACGAGACTCCGAACAACGCCTCTTTAAATCGAGCACGCAACGGAGGAAGACGAACGGAGAGCCGAGACCAAAAAGGTGCGTGTTTACTCTTGTGTTTATGATATACTTTTGTAGGATCCATATTTATAATAATGTTACAATATACCAAACCATCCAAATGCACGTCTGCTCGCTTTCATTTTTTAAAAACATTTTTTAAAATATATTTTTGTATTAACTTGTCATATCTATCTATCTATCTATCTATCTATCTATCTATCTATCTATCTATCTATCTATCTATCTATCTATCTATCTATCTATCTATCTATCTATCTATCTATCTATCTATCTATCTATCTATCTAGCTATGTTGCTGCCTTAAATTTTAAACTTGGACGTTTAAGAAATTTCAACTCAAATTACATTAAATTAACAAAGTAGTTGATTCTTTTATGACAAAAAAGTTGAAAATTGCTTAACTTATTTTGATGAGTTAAAGCAATGTAAAAACATATGTTGTCATAACTTATTTATTTATCATATACTTGTTTACAGTCTATCTATCTATCTATCTATCTAGTTGTCTATCTAAGTTTTGCCTTAGATTTTTAAGTACAATCAACTTGGATGTTTAAGTCATTTCAACTTAAATTACATTAAACTGACTTTATTCATGTTATACAAGAATCAACTTTTTTAAATTGAAAATTGCTTGAGTTAAAGCAATGTAAAAACATACTGTATGTTGTCAACTTATTGATCAGATTTTGTATTACTATCTGTCTGTCTGTCTCTTTAACCTTCAAACTTAAAGCTTTTAAAGCTATTTAAAACTTTCAGACAAGGATATTATATTACTGTAATAGTTATTTAAAGTGTTATGTATCATGTACAATTTTACGATAATTCCTTATCAATCCACTGATTTCTAAAGCATGAAATTTCCTTTGCAGAACAGCACCAGGTCGGTTGCAGGGAGCTGAGGTCCACTAAATACATATCTGACGGCCAGTGCACAAGCCTGAATCCTGTAAAGGAGTTAGTGTGTGCCGGAGAATGTCTACCCACCCACCTGCTTCCCAACTGGATCGGTGGAGGTCACTACTGGAGCAGACGTGATGCCCAGGAGTGGCGCTGTGTCACTGACCGCACACGCACCCAGCGCATTAAACTCCAGTGCCAGGACGGCAGCACACGCACCTATAAGATCACCGCTGTCACATCCTGCACGTGCAAGAGATACACACGCCAACACAACGAGTCCTCTCATGCACCTCAGAGTCCCTCAAAGGATCCTCAGAACCCCAAGAAGAGAAAAAGCAAAAATAAAAATTCAAAGCTCAATCCTAAAAATGAATAGCGTCTCTCCTTTACTGAGAATAAGCCATACTGGTGCAGATTTGACCAACACAACCCTGTGCTCATTGAAGGAAAGGGACTATGAACTACAATGACACTGACTTGGATTGCAATGATGTACAGCTGTTTTTCTTACTATTTTCAGATGTGGATTCTTTTATGACCATGCATAAATGTATGCATATATGTGTGTGTTTGTGTGTGTGTATGCACTTTTTTGAGTGTAACATGGTAACATCCTGATTACAAAAAGCAATGATGTATACGACTACATTTGACAGACAAAAGTTGGAAACTGAACCATAACTATAGCTATGTAAATATTTGCATTCCATATATAGTAGTTTTTGAATAGAATTACATATATTTTTTATATAATAGTTTTTTTTATGAATATTTCAAGTTGGCATTTAAACAGGTAAATACACATGTATCCAATAAATTAAGTAATTTACATATGCTGGTTTGTATTATTTTGAAATGGAGACCACTGATTGTAGCTAAAGGCAGAAACTATATAACAAATGAGGAATTAGTTCAAGAAGCGAGTTCTTTCTCACTGTCTTCGTAACTCTACGCTGCATTGTTGTGAAGGGTTGCCCTTACCTGCAGGCACATCAGCTACTTTTTGGCGGCAACATGTTAAAGCTGCTTCATTGTGTCCCGTATCCTTTCACTCTGCCATTCTGAAAGTCATGTTGCCATGCCTGAGGTTATATTCCCAAGTTATGAATCAGATTCCTTGTATTTTGAATCCAGGAATGCAGAGGAAGGTGACACTGCACAGGTAACATTGCAAGTCATTGGAGGATGAGACATTTTGTGGATCACAGAAATTTGACAGCAATAAAAAAAAGCAAACTTTATGTAATGTCAGCTTTCCAAATCAAGACAATGCATTCCAGTTTTGTTTGTAAGATGCATCAGAAGGTCAGCGTACAGTCTGTGGGCGGTCCACGGGTGTGCCGAGACTAAAGCTGAGACATTAAGACAGGTAATATCATGAGTCTAACGGAAGACGTCTTTACAGGATGTCTGGAGTCTCTTGTGTGTTGACAGGTGCAGTCAGAAACGGGTGCTTTTGTCTGCACTGATTCTCCATCTCTGTAATTATCCCTGACAACAGATTTGCCTCCAGAGTTTTTGAGATGCAAGGACCACCTGCTGTTATTTATAAGCTCAATTACCAAATGCATTCCCTAAAGAGCGGGTTGCTGTGATCCACAAAACTCGGCATACTCCCACTTACTATGGTATTCAAACACAGGCTTTTCATTGGTAATGTTTTATTTGTTTACTCAAGACTTTGAACTGAGGACACTTTGGTTTTCCCAAAGTTTGCAAGGTTAGTGGCATCAAATCTGTGGCAACATCAAAGTTGCGATGAAACAGAAGTAGTGATATTTTCTTCTGTATTGTGATGTAAGAAAAAAAAAAAAATAGGACGGGGGCTTGATTCTACGCTCTTAAAAATAAAAGTTCCAAAAGGGAGTTTTTGCAGTGATGCCATAGTAGAAGATCTAAATATTTTCCAAATACTAGTATTTTATGCATTTTAATATTAATTTTAACAGTATAAGTTGTTTAACAGTATACATTTTCACAGTATAAATGTGTTCTTACATGATAATATATAGCTGCCTTTTCAATTTTAGGATGGGGGGTCCATGGCATCTAAAAGTTTGAAAACCCCTGATCTAAAGAATCTTTTTCCACTATAAAGAACATTTTTGGCACTCAGTAGTGGAGGCAAATAAATGAGAACTTGCAAGGGCGGGTTTTTATGAAGCGACGATACTTTTTGTGCGAAAAAAACCCTGACTTTATTCAACAATTTCTTCTCTTCTACACAGAAGAAAATAAATAGTTGAATTTATGTTATTTTTGTTGTTTTTTGCACACAAAAAGTATTCTCGTTGCTTCATAAAATTAAGGTTGAACCACTGTAGTCACATGAACTATGGACTAATTATGTCTTTACTACCTTTTTGGGCCTTGAAAGTGGCAATATTTGCAGCAAGAGGGGGGAGATATAAAATATATAAAGATATAAGATAAAAAAATATCTTAATTTGTGTTCCGAAGATGAACAAAGGACTTACGGGTTTGGAACTACATGAGGGTGAGTAATTAATGACAGCTTTTTCATTTTTAGGTAACACTTTAAGGAAAAAAGGCCGAAAAACATCACCAGAAAGAATTTTCTTTCCGTACGTCCCAGTTATGACATTTTGATTAAACATGACAAGGTCAAAACTTTAAAATAAATAAATAAAACACAGGTTAATTGTTCATACTAAGATATATAACATGCATTTAGAAAATAGACGAGGTTTTGTTTGTGGTACAGTTGTAAGTAAACAATATTTATAATTAACTGTACATTCTGTATTGAGTTAATATTTCAATAATTTAACAACACATTTTCATGTACATGATTATTTAACATTCACATTTAGCCATATGCTGTGATCAGTGAACCTCGAAAATCCCATAAATGTACATGATGACATAAATACGTACATAATTCTTATACTTGTGTCTCATTGGTTCTCGGAATTCAACAGTTTACTTTACTCAAAGTTTAAAATAAAATACAACCCATTAAATCTGGTAATTTACACACTATTTCGTTTGTTTCTCCTCACATGGTTTCATCACTCCATATATTTTTATGTTGCTGTGCATCATTTCACAACAATTGTCAATTCTAAACTGTCATTGTTTATACCATACAGCCCTGGGCAGAGCTTAACTTCAGTTAATTCCTGCAGCAAGTAATGTATAACTCTCTCTGTCAACACAGTACAATGTGCCAAAATAGCCTGCTGTACCGTAACTACCTACCTACGGTTTGGACCATTACCAAACAACACAGCAACCTCAGTCACACACACACAAAAAAAGATGTCTTAACATTTTATGTTGCATCAACTTGAGATGGAAGTTGTTTAAACAGAACATACAGGACTTGAAGTCACCATGAAATCAAAATTGACAGATTTTTAAAGCTGCAGTCCGTAGCTTTTTTTGGGTTAAAAATGATCCAAAATACATATTTGAGAAAATACATAACCAGCCAGTGTTCAAAACTATCTGCTTGCCTTAGCTCGATTCAAAGCGGTAAGCTTGTAATAATGTTTTTAACTCCAGTGGTAGTGGTGGATTTCCGCGGGAGATTCGAGCATGTCTTTGCGTCATTACGTCACATCTGTACACATAAAGAAGGAGTCTCGGCTAGTAGGCTATATTGCGTGAGGATGTTGGAGGTGGAGATTTATAGCCTTTTCTCACAGCACTTGATATAATTAAACTTATCAATTTGATGGCGGATCCAGAAAGGTTCAAATGACAATCACCAGTGACAACAGATTCACCCGCTGTAAAATGCAAAAGACTTCGTTCGGACTTCGGAGTGGCTACAGAAAAAAATAATAATAATAATAAGTTTATTTTATATAGCGCCTTTCTCAAACCCAAGGTCGCTTTACATAGTGGAAAGGCAAGAATACACACCAGAAACAACCAAAACAATACAACAAAGACAAGTAATCTGTGTGAAAAAAGAGACTGTAACCGATCCCATGCGAAAACAAGGATACATATCGGAATGACATTATATGTAGTCACGCAATGCTGACGTTGTTAACATTAACAATTTGAGAACAAAGTATAATTTGCACGGTTTTGCGTGATATGATAACTTATAAGCGATTGTTAGATTTAATCAGCGCGATTTACTGCAGAACCAGAACAAAGGTGGATGTTTCTTACTAGTTTAGATTACATTTTCCGGTGAAAATTCTTATGTTGGTCATACTTCCAAAAATAATAATCTGCAATTCTGAATGACAGTATCCACACCGGGGCGGTGACTGACAGCTGCACACTCTCCTCAAACATTGTGTTCATCCTCGCTGTGCCGTGTCGAGGGTGTTGAAGTACAACTCACGTAAAGTTGATAATTCCGCGAATGACTGCAAATGCATGTTTCGAACAGAGATGGCGACAAAGAGGAAAAACGCCGGACTGCAGCTTTAAGCAATATTAAAAAATGTATTATAAATGATTTATACGTGCACATCATTGTTGTTATTGTTGTTGTTGTTGTTTTTTAATTCATATGCCCTCATAATCTTTAATCAGATTGCAGTTTGCAAAACCCCGGAGAACTCTTCCTGCCTACACCGTGACGTCATTCATCACCACAGTTGGATCTGAGAGGGAGAATCTGGCTTGGATTGATTCCATCAATAAACTGGAGTAACATTCTACGTTTTTTCCTCGGTTCTGCTAGCAGCAAAGACTCAACATGCATGGTGCTTTTATCATTAGTCCTCATTTTATCTTTGACTACCAGCGACGTGATTCACAGAAATTATGAATATGATGAGCTTTCCCCACATTCCCAGAAATATCTGGGCACCATCTGGGATTTTGGCCCTATGGACATCAAACTCAGCTGGAATCCACAGACTATTGGTGACTACAGAACTTTATATTTATCTGATCTAGTTAAGTTATTTGGTCTACATGATTGGTCTAACCCATCCTTCTTATACTCTCTGGTAGTGTTCATCCTAACCCTGGTCCAGTGCTAAATAATTTGAATACTCCTGAAGAATTCAAAACTAGAGCTGGACTAGGTTTTCCTTGTAACATTGTGTATTTGGTATAGCCTACATTAGTAAGCAGCTAGAGCTTTTAGCCTTAAAGATGGAGCTCACATTGGGGCAAACAATGACGGTCATAGGTTGCTATAGACCACCCTCAGCAAGTACTGAGTCTCTTTGCTCTTTAAATCATCATCTATCGAGCATTGAATTTGGAGAGGTACTTTTAGCCGGGGATTTTAACTTGGATTGGCTGTCCTCTATTTCAGATAGTTTTAAATCTGTCTGTGACTCTTTTAATCTTACCCAGTTGATTGATAGTCCAACTCGGCCAAACCCCAAATGCCCTGAAAAGTCCTCTTTACTTGACTTGTTTTTAAGTAATGCTCCACACAAATTCTCAGAGATAGGTGTGTTTGCAAATGACCTGAGTGATCATTGTACATTTGCAGCAGTTAGGAATGCTAAAATCCCG